TCTTCTCACGTACCTTTTACAGCGGAACCAGTTCGGTCCAACTGGCTGCAGTTCGCCAAGGTGCCCTTCGTGCCCATGAGCTCTTGCGTAGAACGATTCCGATTCGGCGCCTTCTTGGACTCGAAACAGCACCTTTGCGCCGGCGGCGAAGGTGATCAGGACTCGTGTCGCGGTGACAGCGGCGGTCCTCTGATGTTCCTGTCACCAGACCAGGTTACATACTTGGCTGGGATCGTTTCCTACGGCACGCAACGATGTGGAGGTGGGAGCATAGGGATCTACGCCAACGTCGCAGAATTCATGCCCTGGATTTCACGGGCAATTTCCTCGTAGGACGCACATTAACGGCATTAGGCGACGAAGAGGGATGAAAGGAAAGGGAGACGTTTTACGTCCGAGGGAATCTCGATAGGCTTCAGCAAAATGTGTCTTTACATTAATCAGGGCTCAGATCATTCATCCGGAATAATGACAGCAGCGGGTGTATTTTGTCGTGATTACGGACAATAATCGGATGCTACTGCTTTTCACTGCATGCGTAACCGTTTTTATTCAACGGACAAAATAAATTGAAGAAGAATGAGCTGACGTACATTGCTGTTTCAGTGTTAATCAAGACCCAAAACATTTTTGATGGCATTAGCGTAGAAAATTACTATCAAAGGGAAAAACAGTGGCTCACATTTAAATTCTGGGCTGCGTCGGTTTTTTGTTTTTATTTATTTTTTATTCCTTACTCTCAGCAAATCAAAATTTGAGCACCGTTTAATCGGAAATTTACTGCAGTTAGAAGAAACTAAAAGAAATAAATCAGGTCTAACTAATTTATTTTGTGGTTCCCGGGGTTGGCTTAAGTTTCATCGGCAGGAAATAAAGGGAGCGATTTTAAAAATCCCTAAATTAAAATTTCGACCAAGAATTTCCAGATTATATTGAATCTGCGCAACGAAGGCATCCGAAAGATTTCAGATGGAAGAAAACGCATTATATATCGTGTGACTGGATGGAAACTTCATTCGCTAAAAAAACAAAAGTCACATATTTTTCTCAACCCCTCCTGATACCCCAAGTTCTCTTTCATGTTTTCATCAGATCAGAGGTGTTACTTTTGTTTTCGAAAGCAAAGAAATTCAAATTTAGCAGTTCTTTTTTGAAAGCTAATTCATTCTTGGTTTCGCCTTCCTTTATGTAGTATGTGGACGTTGGAGAGATTCCTGGATTTTAGGCACAATTTCCTTGCAGCATGCACTGTATTACGTAGAACGACGGGGAGATGAAGGGAAAATGAGACTTTTATGTCGACGCATGGCATGACACAACATGTATGTCTTCATTTTGAAGAATAAGGAGAAAATGCGGAACATTCATTGTGCTATTGGATGAACTTGACATGATATACTGCGTGCAACCAAATGAATATTGCCTTCTTTCGTCTTTTTCTTAGTTTTCGGACTTTTACATGTTTTTTCGGATCGATTTTGCGTTCATCGAGTGGAAAAATCTAAAGGACGATGTTTTCGATACTGAAAAAGGATGGTTTAAGCCAATAAAATTCAATATCTGCTTTTAAATCTATTGAAAGTTTCCAGTGATTGCCTCAAAAAAACGTTCGATCAAACCTCGCCTAATTACAGTATAATTTTTGCAACCAGCAAATTCAAAAGCATTTCTCAAGCAGTGATTATTTTTCGAAGACCGCAGAGGATCGAACAAATTCCGCTGGTAGTTCTGACATATCGAACATCTTTCGAAAGAGAATGTAAAAAAACTTGATTGATCGATATTGCTATGAATAAAATTGCAACTCGAACAGTTCAGGGCTTATTACGAATTTTTTTTTTTTGCTGTTTTTCGTCTCCCCGGTTGATTTCATGTTGGCACAACTCTGAGTTGCTATGAGCAGTTGTAGATGTCTTGAATGGTTTACACATCGAATTTGCGCATTTAAGCCACATTATGACCTAAATAAAAAATCTACATGCGTCATACAAATTCGGAAAGTGTTCTGGAAAATCGCGATCCGCGAGTCACAGAAAAATTGGAAAATTTCTGAACAAAAAATGCTTTAAAGTTGGAGCTTGCTACAATTTTCTGACATCGATAAAGTAAAATCGTTTCAAGATTGAGTGCAACGTTTTTGATTCGAAGTTAGTATATGCATGTACTGTATATAGAGCAGGACTTGTCTGTTGTTTACGTCTATATCTGGAGTGAAGGCTATTTAAAGTTAAATTGTTCTTCAATATCTATAATATCGGCTATAACTTACGACACAAAACACAAATTTCATGGCGGCTTTTCCGAATGAATCAGTGAGGCCTATGCATTCTGGGATTAAGCGCTTAATCTCGGTTTTCAGGACTTCAGATATTCGCCCAGGGAGGAAAAATAACAACTCCAGTGGTTCGGCACGGCATTCTCGTTGTTGCGTCAGAACTTCGTATAATTTCGACGGAATAAAATACTTCTGCGAGGAAAGGAAGAAGGATTCATTCGTATTCTTCTCAGACATTTCCGGTGTTTCCCTCCAGACACATCCTGCTCCGTGGGGAAACGTTCCGTCCGAACCTTTTCCCAACGGACGCGCATTTTCCGGTCCCTATTTCCACCAGCTCGAACTCGGACTCTGACGTTGTCGGTGTCGAGCTTTCCAAATCCAAATCGACACCACCAGCAGCAGCAGCAGTGACGTGCTTCGGTGCTGTGCCGCTGCTGAGTGCGAACGTTGACGATGATGATGGTTCCCCGGGTTTCAGGATGCCGGGTGGCGGGGAACCATCCGGGTTCCCCCGCAGCAGAGGGTCGCATCGGGAATTCGATCAACATTCGGGTCTCGTGGTCTTCGTCGGCGAGGTCGTCAACGGCTGACCTATGATGGCCGCGGACGAAATTAATGGGTGCGGATGCGTGAGTGATAGCTAGGATGCAGCGGAGTTATCTCCAAGTTATTATCGCGATGCATCACTCACGCCAGACTTCATACGATAGGATTATCCCTTTTCTCGAGGATCAACACACACTGGGATAGGAATTGACGATGAATTATGCGGTATGTGACTGAATACAGTATATTTTAATGATTACAGCAGTCCCCATCAGCTCTGGTTTCAAGTTGGATTTTTCCCGAATGCACGTCAGCGAAGTAAAAATTTCGATTTTTTTTGGTCTAAAGTGTTTGTATCTACTGCTGCTGCGTTACTCGAGTACAACGTAAAATTAGTGTGGCCATGATAAGACGGGTACAGTACACAGTTTTAAATTTAAAAAATGTATATAAGTGTGTACCATATTTGATTCAGTCGAGGGAATTTTAATAGTCAGCAATTCTGTGGAGAGAATGCCCCTGGGAAAACCGCAAAAATGTTCGTCCTCTGCGCTCATCATCATGACTTCTTTGATTTTAAATTCCTCTGCCAATCAAAGGTAGGGGATGTATAAAAACGAAAGAAGATTCGAATCTTTATTTTTACACGCAAGCATTATTTGCAGTACTGTACTCTTAAATTTTGAGAGGATTGTCATTCTGATTTTTCAGTCTTATTTTATCTACTTCTATTTATTGCTATGTTTGAAATTGTAAACAAATTAATTTTTTATTCGCGGTGCTCTGTTTTCAGTGTTCCTTCCATGAATCATATTCCTTTGATGTTCCATCATTGAATAATTTTTTGCATAAAATCTATAGGATCATGTATTTAAGGTGAACCCCTAAATACATGCACCTGACCACAAACTGGCCAATTGCCTGTATTTAATTTGTGTTCAACTGCGCATTTGTCTATTGTTTTTTCTGCTTATTACCCAGTGAGCAAAAAGTACTCAAAAAATGTCTGAAACTAATCCAAATGAGTTTCATGGAAATTTTTTGGAGAACTTGTCCCAAAAATGGTGCTCTGGTGAACAAGTCTTTTTGATCCAAAAGTCATCCAAAAAACAACTGCTTTTGGAAGAAAATTGGACAAGTTGTCCAATTTTAATCAAAAACTCATCAAAACAAATGTCCAAAACATGTCCATTTCTGGCAAGATTCTTGGATATGTTGGTTTGGGTGAGTTTTGGACCAGAAACAGAATATCTTGCTCACTGGGTATGCCAAATACACAACTTTTCCTTGAGAGAAATTAGAGAATAAGTTTAAAGATAGTGGACAATGACATACAAAAAGGACAAGAATCATATGATTTCAGGTTAAATATGCGTCTATATCAAACGTAGTTATTTTATTTTTTGCTGGTACAGTATATGCATTCCAATATTTTAGCTGCACGTTGCTAAAAAAAACTGGGTGGACACCTTCTTGGGGACTGGTTTCTGTGCAAATTTTCGGCCAAAAAGTTAACGTTTGCATCTTATTTGAGGAAGCCTGATCCTTGAGCAAATAATGTATGAAATTCAATTTCTGGAATGATTTGTTAAGCATAGACTTAAAATGATGTTTCGGAAGATAATTTGGCTCCTTACCGTATTTTTCTCGTTGAAAACCTAACAGTTACGTTTGTGCGACGTAAAATTAATGACCAGAAGAATATAAACCGTGGAAAATTTAAAGATTTTTATTTATCGTCGGAAATGTTCACGGCGAATCATATGCTCCGCTATAGAAAAACCAGTTGAAATTAAACAACAAATATTAAAGTTTTGTTTCAGAAGATAATGTGGCTCCTTAAGCTATTTTCCTTATTGAAAACTTGATCTTCACGTGATGCGTGCTCCGTAAAATATAACAACAAAAATAGACCCCGAGGACAATTTGGACTTTCGGAGTTTTCAATGGAAATGTTCAAAGTGGATCATTCGCTTCGCAAAAGAAGAACGCTACGAAATTTCTAAAAATATTCCAACCTATACGGCGGTATACCCAGTGAGTTGAACATATGTATACAACTCCTTATTCTTAAGATCTCTGAATAGGAAAGCTGCGTCATCACGCAGAAGAGCCGCTATTCTTTGGTTAGATCTCATCCCAAGTATTCTATTTCCGGGGGAAGTAATTGCGAAACTTACTTGTTTTGTTTGTCGGAACTTGAGCGCATTGAAGGGGTCGATGTTGCCGGAGAAGCGTAGGACCATGTGAAAGCCCGGGACCTCACGGCTGTGGTTCGATCCGGACTCACGTCCGAGTTCAACGCAGCTGCCTTTTGGCGAGACCATTCTTGAATTGACATGGCCTTGTTCGGAACTCGCCCGAAAACAATGACGACTTCTCCCTCCAGGTCCTTGTTGCGATTTCAACAGAACATAGTATATACATATACAGACTAAAAAGAGAGCACTTAGACCAGAGAGCATCATACAGAATACTGTACTGTGGGGGTGGAGAAACGTCAGTCACCCTTTTAGAGCGTGATATTCTTGGGAAACGGCTAAATAATTCATACCACACGTTTGCCAATTTAGGATGCATGCATGCGCATTATTCATGAGATTTTATGCTCTGTTGTGGTAAGTATCCTCACAGCCGCTTCCTGGTGAGATCTAGGCCAACATTTGTAGTGGTAAAATAGATAAAATATAGAGGGGGATCAAAAGGGGAGACACACTACGTAGCCATGTTTTTGCAAATGATTTTCGTGAGATTTATTCCGCCGATTGAGCTCATCTGCTGTTTTTCTATAGACCCTCCCTTCTATTGAACGTTTAAAACGAGACAAGCGCACGTCTTTTGGCATTATTTTTTTTTAAAGTTAATCTTCAACATCACGAAATGAATGATAGCTCAAAATATTGAGGGCTTGAAGAGATTTTAATTCTTCAAATCCCTGTCAATTCTGCTGTGCCTATCCTAAATCTCAAATTCGAAATATTCCGCATGCCATTCAAAAATCAGTGGATAATTTCCACCCTTGGCAAAGTGTGCTTGATTTGTAATACATCCCAACAAAATTACAGCAACATACAATGGATCAAGCCCCTCAACCCCTATCAATGTTCCTGCAGAATTTTACGCTAAAAAACAAAAACTCGACACGCGATCGTTCGATGCGTGTCTCAATTTATGGCTACGTATTGTATTGGCATTCCTCGCCTGATCATTGACGGCACTTTTTTTCCAAGTCATTCAATAATCTTAAATCACTATTTTTTGTAAAAGATTTTTGGCTGACACCCATGCTGATGTTCTCACAGTTAAAAATTGCAAATCTCTATAAACAGCATGCAGTTATTGTTTTCTAGCCGAAATATGAAACATGGGACAAATTTTAAACCAACGTCTGTTTCTGAATTTGGCCACGTAAATGTTGTGAAATAATTTCACGGGATTTCTCTTATTTGATACGACGTGTTCCCAACAAAATAATTTGCAGAAGCCCCAAAAATTTATTTTCTCCTAGACAGAGATATTTCATGGCCAGAATTATAATCTTCGGATTCATTAAATTTAATAAATTATCGCCCTTAATTTTTATCTGTTTTATGTAGCAGACAGGGTCATAGTGTCGAAGGTTTTTCCCGATCTGAAAAATTAGCAGTTAGAAATTATGCCGAATCGGTTGACATTTTTTCATTTCATATTTAAATCCAGTCATATATTGTCAATTTTAAATGCTAATGGCGTCAAGGAACGTTTTTGAAGAAATATCAAATATATCATTTCAAAAAATATCAAATACTGTATATCATTTCAAATAAATATCAAATACTGTATATCATTTCAAAGAAATATCAAATACTGTATATCATTTCAAAGAAATATCAAATACAGTACTGTGTATCATTTCAAATAAATATCAAATACTGTATATAATTTCAAAGAAATATAAAATAATGCATATAATTTCAAAAAAATATCAAATAAATAATTTCAAAAAATATCAAATATATCATTTCAGAGAAATATCAAATACAGTACAATCAGTTAGAAATTCCGTTGATTGCGGCAATGAATTCCCCCTTTCCATCGGTTGTACAAATGATAAATGTTCTCTTACCGGACGATTGAACATGTGTCCATCTGATGTATGATAACGGGCCTCCCCTATATATATAGTTTCATATTTCCTTAAATCCTTGGTCAAGCTTCGGACCAGAAGAAAAAGCCTACATCGTCATTTCGTTCCCTGATCAAAACGTGCCTTCAAGTGTGTTTGCTGGTGTGTCCACTCAAGTGAGTCCACTCGGAAATTAGAGGAACGCAGGCTATACTATTCCCTCAAGATTTGAGTGCCCTGAGCGTGACAAGGGTTCCGAAACGAGCATAGAAACACAGTCTAAGAGTCGTATAAGACACACAGAAACGAAAGAAAAGAGGCAAAAGCTAATATACTAGCCCTCCCTAATGCTTTTAGTTACTTACGCGCAGCAGCTTTGAAACGTCCGCCTGGCTCTTTTTCCGCACGTCTTGTCCGTTTATTTCAAGGATCCTGTCACCCTGAAGAATTTTCCCGTTGCGCGACGCCAGGCTTCCGGGTTTCTGCAATGCAAAAATGTTGAAAAAAAGAAAAGAAATTCAGCTACATATTCCTTTGCATAATAGCCCAGTGCAACCCGTTTGTTGAACGTGGCTTGAAAAGGGCAAGGGCTACATGTAAGCGAAAACCAGGATGAGGGCTTGTCATGCTGAAAGTTTCTGTTCTATTCTTGGGTTTGCCATTCATCGAAGCCCCGTCTGGCCTATCGAAAGTATCACTTGCAGTTTTCCAGGAAATTCACCCGCGTATGATTTATGAAACAATGGAAACGAGCATGAAGGCCATTTTTAAAACGGGTTTATTCAATTAGCGGGTGATTATAATCATATTAGAAACGATGACCTAAAAATCGACTCGAATATCTTCCGAATAATATGTTTTTACGGTCTTGAATGCAATGACATGATCATAATTTCCAATACTGACGGTATAATCGCTGTGTATTTTTTAAAATAGTTGATTAGTTTCGCACAAAAAGTTGCTTGAGTTCTCCTTGCTTGCAAATTATTCTTCAAATGCGGATTTCACGTCAGTAACAGCATCCACACTTTCCTGTATAGCAAATTCTAAAACAAAAAAAGCTGCTAAAGCACATGGATGAATAAAAAATATCTAGAACTCGATCTTGGAATTCTGCCATATTGCATTCTAAGATTTCTTGACTTCATTTGACTCATCTTTCGGAATAAATAAAATATTTTGTGGAATGTATTTTCTTTTAATTTTATTATCCATATGCAGCAATTTTCTGTTTCCCAGATGGATTTGGGTTGGGTGGGGAGGGGGTTTGGATGTGGGAATGTTTATTGAACTTTGTGAATGCTGAAAAGCAGAAAGTAAAGCTTTCTGTTCATACATTCATTCCAAATAAAAGGTCGACCGATCAGAAAAGATATTTGCTCGAATTGAAAAAAATAATTCAAATTATAAACAGCCAACCACGAAAACTTTCCCGTCATTCGGAATTCTATATGCCGAGACTCGAAAATAGTAAGACAATTTTCAAGATGCCAATAAGACGAAAAATGAAACGCGAAAAATGTCATATTTTTTGTTTTGTTTTATATCCGGTTCATTAGCATGAACATCATCATGAAACATGTCTCGGTAATGTTGGGAACTCCTCGATACATGTCAGAGCTTTGAGCATACAAGAGGAATCATTCCGAGTTGAATACGTTCAAAGGAAAAACTTCACGTGTTCTGCTATTTGCTCGTGCACGAAACTATCTTCGGCTTTCAGCCGGAATTGCACGCATTTCGAGATCAAAGTTGAAATTGCGCAGCTTTCAGCTCGAGTTCTCGGTACATCGGTGCTTCAAAAAGTTTTGACAAGAGAACCGCCCACACGAGCAAAACAGAAAATGCAGAAGCAATCTCCGAGATTCGCACTCGTCGTCGTTACAACATATGCCCGTCGTGTCGTATTGTCAGTGCTTTTTCAGCAGTCGTGAAGAAACTTCCTACTTCATCATCATTTCAACAAGAACAAAAGAATAAGGAACAAAGAAAAGGAAAGCCGTCGCTCTTTTCATGTCGGATCTGACGAATCTCGAGAAGGTTTTTTCCTTCTTTGTCTCTTGAAATATTCCAAGCCCTGATGCTGCTTCGCCCCTGATGGGGATAAGTTGTAAATGAACTGACAATAAAAAAAACCCTTAAAAAAAAAACCACGAGGGTTAGACGTGCAGTACAGCCTTTTCCTCTCAAAATCCACGGCAAATCACATCAAGAACTGGGCATGTTCACCCGGAAATTCGATTCCACGGCAGCCTGAACACGTGGGGGCACATTTGTCAAGAGGAGACTCCGCGAATGAAGACCTCGTACGTCAGAACGGATGACAAAATATATTAAAAAAAAAACCCAGGCTGTCATCATCCAAAGTAACGTACTCTACTTTAAAGATAGTACTGAAATGAACTGTTTTTTGTTTGTTGGGATAATGCATTTATTTTGCGATCAAAGGGATCAAGGACATCAAGGTATTTTTGTACTCACCACCCAGGTAACAAAAACTCCTTCCGTCCGCCTTATCCGATGAGCGCATGATGGAAACGAGAACAAGATTCGGTTTAATCTACTGTATTTTTTGAAGTTTATGAGTACATTATAGAGAGAATAAATCCCGCACAATGTAAGGGGCTTATATAACGTTGAAGTTCATCTCTGATAAACATATGGCGCATTACTAAGATTCAAAGTTTTTGATGAAGAATGAAGGCGTGAACTCACCGACTGCCCATCAGACTGAGTCCAAGAGATTCCGTTACTATGGTTTTCTTCAGAACTATAGTAACAAACCGACATGGATCTGAAAAGTATATAAGAATAATGAATGAATGAAGGAACAGAACACTTAATTTGCCGCTTTTCAGTGTTCACAAGGTTCAATCAAGATTTCCACATCCAAACCCCTTTTCCCACCCAACCCAAACCCACTCAAAGACATTTAATCACTTCAGAGCAGGAAATAGAGCACAAATTGATGACAAAAATGAAAGAAAATACAATCCACAAAATACAACTGGACATCTGACATGTATGCATAGATTGCATACACCCATTCATTCCCTGACAACAAAAACAAAATATATGTAAAAATTAATTTAAAGCACAAGGTCTTCAGCTTGTTTCTGTGTGAGGTTAAGTTGAATGAACAAATGAGAGAAAATCTTTGATGATAAATCATATAAGGCCAACAGTTTATCTTAATCCTTTAAGATTTCAGAAAGGGTCTCTTCATTTAATTCCAATACTTGTAAATCTTTCTCAAGCTTGTTTCTATCAGGAATAATAGCATGACATTGCTGGGATTTTTGCAGAATTGATAACCATGAATTAATTCTACCAGAAGAAATTTGCACGTTGGAAAAATGAGGATAGTGATCATATGACGCGATAGCGCGAAATAGTTTAGCACAGATCAGGTATTCATTAAGACAGAGTTATTGGAAGCTCTTCAAGGCAAAGAATAAACATAAAGCATGAAAATCCTTTTTTTTTTAGTTTTCAGCTGACCAAGGCCCTATACCTTCTTACTTGAATTGAAGTTCATTATATTCAAAAAACGAAAAAAAGAGATAAAGATAATTCAAACGAAATAGGCAACGTCAACGCCGAGAAAGGTTATTAAAATAAAAAATGAACAGCAAACAATATTAGGTAATAAAAGGAGCTTTAGCATCTCCTTGTTTTTCAGAATTTTTATCACATGTATCATGTTTCCCTAATTGACAGCTCTTGTAAAGTTGAATGCCGTAGGATAATTGATAAAACAAAATTTTAGATAATGTGAATAAGCATTCATTTCTCCTAACTTTCAGGCTTTTTTTAAAAATAACAAATCAATAATTTCTTCTTCATATGCTCACAAACTTCAGACCTCAGGCCTTCGAATTCTTTTCCGCTTAATTCTAGCAAAAAAAAAGTTTCCTCCGATTACCATCACGTTTATTTTTTATTTTTCATAAATTATCTCGAAAGTTCACAAGTTATTGCGCAATATAAGAACTTTGTCCTAACTCTTGTCAATTTAATTATTTCAACAGATGAATAGAAGGGTTTGCCCTATTGACGATGGAATCATGTACAGTTTTAGCCTCAAGTCAAGTGAATTACGACTGCCATTGGCGAATTCGTGTTCATACCCGTTTTCCGACTTTAAAGCAGACAATTGGAACTTCAAATATTGAAATTATTTAAACAATAAAAGAAAGCTCTCAGAAAAACACGTATAGTGAGTATTGAAGGAACAAAAGTGCAGCGAGTGACACTCATTATAGCAGCAATTTCCTGAAAAGAGATGGGGTCGTGCAATGCGTGACGCAAAAGGCCTTCTATTTTTGTCCTGCACATGAGTGCTCCTTTATTACTGACATTAGTTGGCTGCTTCTTCGAAAGGCGATTGAATATGTCCTTGGACATCGCAACATGCAAACTCAATGGGGGTGGAATGAATCTGGTGTGTTCTAAATGAAGAACATGCGAATCAGAATAATTGGCTCTTCGCTGGTAGGAAGACTCGCGGAGAGAAAACGAAGCTGCTCTTTGGGGCTTCGAGGATATTAAAGTAACGTTTTTTTTCCCTCGTCCTTCTGTGCGAAATGAAACATCTGCAAACGCGGATTTTGCGAAAGTTCAGCAGTTGTTCAGCATATAAAAATGAGTCATTTTCACGTTATTCTCCAAAATTCGACCGGAAACTCTGTAACTTCTGCATTATTCTTTACCTACAGCACTTTTGACTGTATTTTCAACTTTCTGCTTGAATAGCCGACCGTTCCACAACATCCTTCAAACTTTTTTCAGAAGCGTCACGGGATTACAGGAAGATACTTAGTTTACTTCAATGTAGCAATTGAAGAGTTTCATGGAGTTCCTTTCGAAGGTTCAACTGAGTTACTCATTTTGTTTAAAACAGAAAATAGCCAACTTTTGGGACGACGAAACTTATTCTTTGCGGTGCGTGGAAGACAATGTTTTCAGGTTGATCGAAAATTATTGAATTATACGAATTTTTCGGGTTCTTCAAGATAGTTTGTGGAAAAATTAAATTTACTGCACCAATGCGATCTCGGAAATCGTTTCTAAATATTTCGCTTTTCCGTGATCCCTATTATTCTTGATTCTCATTTTCCAAGTGCGGCGTTCGCGTTATAATAGTGCTGTTTTTTGTGGAAATGAGTGCAAGCAATCTTCTCGCTCTCCTCAATTGCTGGAACGCTTACCATTATTACTCCAGAAACTGCACCGCACATTCTTTGCGAGAAAAAAAATTGAGGAAAAGTATTACCATTACAGTAAAACGTGAATTGAATTTTTAATGAGCTCCTTTTATGGGGAGCATCATTCCGGAGCAACAAATCAACTAAGTTAAAGGATCCGCATTTCTCCCGAGTTTGAAGTAACACAATTTCGAGAAATAAAAAAAATCAGAAATGCTCAGGTTGATCTCATGAAAAGATTTCAAATTTTAGATTTCAGGATTCATTATAATGCTGTTTATGCCGATCATGTAACTACATGGATAACTTAAAGTTATGAATGAAAATACTGCATGTCGGAAAAATGAAAACTTGATTGCGGATTAGATTCTACCGAAATTAAAAAAAAATCTGCAAAAAAAGTATCCCTTTGATTGATACTTATTTCATCCCGAAAGTCCATGCCTATAATAATCGCAAAAAAGGCACCAAAACGACTGGTTTTATTTCTGAAATGTCTGCGTCATTTGCAAATAAAATTTAATGATAGTTTTAGCATGCATTTCACGTGCCGACGATGGGTACCCATTTTTTCCGTCTCAACATTGTGGCGAAAATGCATCCGAAATTGTGTCATGCGTGACGCGCACAGCAATTATGTTTCAATCGGATTTTTTCAAGAAAATAGCGTGTAAAACACGAGTATTAACGAATCGGACTTTAAAAGTTTCACTTCCTACATACAGTGTGTCTTGAAGCAAAGGCAACAAAGTTTGATCTGAATTTTGTCACAAATTGACAGGTAGTTTAATATACCTCGCATATGTTCGCGTTGGGTATACATGCAAGAAAGCGACTTAATTTTTTAATATCCAGAATCATTGCAGAAAAAATAAAAGTCCAATACAGTACATCCGAACCCGTGCTTTTGCATGACGCACACCTAGTTTTTTCTTTCTGAAATTTTAGAAAGGAAACAGCGGGTGTCACAGGAGTAATAATGACGTAACAATAGTTCGATACACAGAAAAAAATCGTTGATGACAAAGAACGCTGCAGAGAGAAGAGCGAGAGGGAGAGAGTCCACCTGCTGTACATTATCGCATAATTTATCTGTTATTATTAAAGGAGTAATTGAAGAAAAATACGAATTTTTGATTTGGAATTTTATTGGCCTCGGAGTTGAGGCTGCGAAAACTTTCCGTTGAAACCAGCCTCATATATATATTGTCGTTTATAGCCGAGTGCAGAAGATAGGAATACCTTCATCGGTGACGAACAGCACTTCTGGGTTTTCTCGCAACACGCGGAGCTTCACGGGTGACGAGGCCTGTCGCAGGGCCCGAGCAGCCTGCAGC